CTTGATTGTGCTAATGTGAAACCTTTACTTGGACTAGGAGGCAGTTGTCAGAACACAGCAAGGAAACACTGCATGGTTCAAAATTGAAAAGGGTGTACGAAAGGGATGTGTCCTATCTCCATACCTTTTGAACCTACATGCAGAACAGAGTATCTGGGAGGCTGGGCTCTATGAAGAGATCTGTGGCATCAGGATTGGTAAACGATTCACCAGCAATTTGCGTTATGCAGATGACACAACCCTCTTTGCTAAAACTGAGGAGGCCCTGAAGCTTTTGCTGCAGAGGGTCAAGGACTACAGCCTTCAATATGGATTGAGGCTCAATATCAAGAAGACAAAGATTCTCAGTACTGGACCAATTGGCAGCATCAGGATGGATGGTGAAGAGATTGAGATTGTCCATAGCTTTAGTTTGCTTGGCTCCAGTCAACACTCTTGGTATCAACAGCCAGGAAATTAAGGACATATTGTGATGGGAAAGTCTACTGTTAGGGAGCTCTCCAGAGTATTGAAGAGTAATGGTGTCAGTCTGGAGACAAAAGTGCGCCTGATACAGTCCATGGTCTGCAATCACTTGCTATGCATTAGAAATCTGGACAATGCCTAGGGAGGATGGAGGGAGAATTGATGCCTTTGAGCTGTGATCTTGGAGAAGAGTATTGAATATACCATGGACTGCTAAGGAAACAGGTTCATCCTGGACAGGGTTAAACCAGGCTGCTCCTTGGAGACAAGGATTCTGAGGCTTTGTCTGACATACTTTGGACATGTTTCATGGAGGGACCAGTCCTTGGAGAAGGACGTCATGCTTGGGAAGGTGGATGGACAGCGCAGGAGGGAAAGACCCTCTATGAGGTGAATTGATTCAGTGACTGGGGTAAACAGGGTGGGTGTATCAGAGACACACTGGCACAGGACAGAGTAGGGTTTAGGGTTGTTGTACATAGGGTCACTATGAGTTGCAAGCGACTCAATGGCACATAACACAACAGCAACAACAACAACAACATAATTTATTGTGATTTGTTCTTTTAGAATATTGAATTCTACTAATGAAGAGAAACAGAGTAATAAATTGTCTTAAGCATGAAATCAGCAAACTGGGAACTTGTAAAATACAGATAAAATGAAAGCATGTAAATATTTCTTTTTATTGATGAACATACATAGAAAAGATCTGAAAAGCCAGCTACATATTAAATACAGAAGAAACATTAAATATAAATGTTATACTAAAAGTTATGAGGCATATATGACTCAATATTCAGGGGTCTTAAATAGGCTGTTAACATTCAAAATATCTGTTAATATTCATTCTGACCACATATATCCTCAGACAGATAAAATCTCTTGCTTTTGAGAGCAATTGTGGACTGATGGCTGTGACTCTATGCACTTGATCCTCCATCTCTCTGAGACAGAAATTCTGCCATTGTTTCCAGGAACCTCTTGCTTTAAGAGCCTTTGTACTAACTTCTTTTACTGATGATATTGATTCCATATCATCGTGGGGGGAGGAAGCTGAAGCAGAGAGTACATATCTACACTGTCTAACTTAGAAGGTATATTCACATTGTCTAACATAAAATTAAAATAATCTGATTCATTTGCCTTTTATCCTATTCTATGCATACTGTCATACTATTCTCCTCACTTCTCACTACATGTTTACTTTGATTTTATTTGATCTCTTAATTGTTTTGTTCCATACTTTGTGATTGTTTGTTTGATAGTGTACCTAGAGTTTTAAAATTATGTTGCCTTATAGTCCATGAATGCAAAAGAAAGGAAAGCCAGTTAAAATAATTTGAAACTTTGGGATATCAAAATTCAAAACCA